GAGAGAGAGAGAGAGAGAGAGTGTGTGTGTGTGTGTGTGTGTGTGTGAGAGAGAGAGAGAGAGAGAGTGTGTGTGTGTGTGTGTTAGTCTCTTTGGGTCAATGGAAGAAGTGTTTTTCATGGTGGTCTCAGACACCCAAAAAGTCCCCCGATGCATTATTGTGATGTTTGTGTTGTTAGTACGCTGAGATTCTGACATAAACAGCTGGATTCATACCGTCCACAAGCTGAGAGCATCTCTCTTTGGCTTTCTCTCGCATCATCTTGGGAATCAGCACATCTTTCTCCACGTGTCGCAAGCGTGGCTCCTCTGTGGAGGCAGAAACAACAGCATTCATATTAATCAAACACTTATTCATTCATTTAATCAAACAGACACAAACACTGAGAACCATCAGTGAGATTCAGCAGCGAATCAATCTGACCGAGTCATTTAGTTCATTCATGTTGATTCTGATTCATTCAAAATGACTCCTGATGCCACAGTGTGTGATCAAAAATCTATAAATGCTTTTTATATGACACATAACATTATAAAACATGCATGTATCCGCGCATATAGTGATCTGTGAACAGAAGTCTGTAGTGTTGTTGTAGTTTTACACACGCATTCATAAAAGCGGAAGAACAAACATCCCGGCGGAAGTTAAAATCTTCCCGTACCTGCTTTAGACGGATCCATTTACACCTCAGTTACTGTAATTAGTTACTAGATTGTTTATTATTATGAAACACTGACGTGTTTCCAATGTGACCCTCTGCGCTGCGTGTTTAGCGTGAGACTGTTTCGTTCACTTCCGGTCGGTGACGTTGACGTAAGCCGCTAGAGCGTCTGGTGGTTGTAGTTCTGTGGAGCTCAGGATGAACTACACACAGTCGGAACGGAGCGCTACAGGATCGTTTGACAAACATGAGATCAAGAATTCTGCAGTATATGCGAAGACTAATCTGACTGGTGCTATCAGGGGAAAGTTGATTCAAATTATAATAATAATAATAATTAAAATAAAACAAAGTTTAAAGTGACTTTACTATAATATAGAGGAGGAGCAGTTTCTTAACATATGAAAAATCACTTGGTAAATATGATAATACAGAATTTAATAAATTAAAA